ACTCCATGATCATACTATCTCCGAATGAAAAAGAAAGGGGAATACGTTGGTTAAGTTATGGCGGCGATGGCCCACGGTCTTTAAATAATTATCTGAGAACCGGCTGATAAACAGAAAGAAAAGGGAAATTTGTGGATATTTAATATATTTAAATGATAATTGAGGTAGTATTTGCTAGATAAACCCAAGTGCTATTGAACGGTAGCAGGTGGGCATCTGTGTAGCCAAAGAGATAGATGCGAATAGGTTTAACATAGGAAAATAACTCCTCATCGCTCGCGAGGGTAGGATGGCCGAGTGGACTACGGTGTCGGAATTTCTCTCTTCCCGGGACAATGTCGAAGGTTACAGGATCAAATCTCAGCCGGGGCGAAACGGAGTTTTTCATCAGGATACCAGAGGGAGCGCGAAGCGCGTCAACTACGTGAAGGAAATAACCCCCGGCAGTACCAACAATAGGGGTAGGCGCCTCAACGGGTATGGGTAGGAACACTAGGCGGGGAGCGGATTCTCAAGGCAGCGACGCGACGGGACCGGCCGTTTCCTAATTTTAAGGAAACGCTTGCAGGTACTGTTTCCTTTTTTTTTTTTTTGAGGAAACGTTTCCTGAAAACAACACAACACTTACTTACTTTTAGGAAACTCTTCGCGCGGCGGTGTTTCCTAATTTGAAGGAAACGTTTTCGTGCTTCAATGTAACAGGAGTTTTGGTTCAAGAAATCGCGTTTTCTTCGACCAAGGCAATACCGTTTTCTTCATTCAAGACTTCGTTTCTTGTCCACTTTTTTCAAGTATCCAATTTTCTTAGGTCAACACGGCGTCGCCTTGAATTTAGGAAACGTTTTTTTCAGTGTAAGCCTCTTTGAGGCCCCTAGTTTGTAGGTGGGCCGGACGCTTACTCCCCACATGTAGAGTCCCTTTATACTGAGAGTCAAGACAACACCCCTCAAGGAGTCACAAACGGGAATAAAGATTACAGAAATTGAACGTTTTTCGTAATCTTTGATCGGCTCATTCTTAAATTCCTTTCTCCGTTCCTTCTTTCATTCCGTTTGTTCCTTGTCGAACCCGAAATTCCTCGGTCCATTACAGATTATAATCTTTGCAATTGGTGAAAATGTAATCTTTATTCCCATTTGTGACACTGTGAAGGCCTAAAATCCGGTTAACCAATCAGAAATGGATTCGCATTGTCTTGACTCTCAGTATAAAGGGACTCTACCCACATGATGCCCACACACATGTATACCGTAGAGTCCCTTTATACCCAGAGTTAAGACAACTCACTTTTGGTCAGAGACAAGAGACCCTCCACTGGCCTCTTGACGACAGGTGGAAGCTTTTACTTTCGGGGATTCATCAGCTCCTTATGGACAATGGGCCTGTTGCAAACTTTTGCTAGAGCAAAAATAAGAGTTGTTTCTTATAGATAATGCCTCAAAAATCACGATGAGCGCATCGGCAAAGTCTGAAATGCACTCATAACTTCACAGTCTGCGTAAGAAATTTGCGGTTTTTTGAGCTTCCCACTTCAAAAGCGATACTACGGCACAGGTGAACATTTTGTCAGAGGAGTCGTTCCATCGTCGGCAATACTCATCATGGCCAATGCCAATCCGCCAAAACACGTGTGATGGGACGAGATAATACCTGAACTGGATTATAGACCAGATAACAATCGGCGTGTTTTAACGTTCATGTTTTCCACGCCCGAATTGATTGACCTTGAACTCTCCTCGAATTACGCGCGGAACTGCGCGCAAGCGTCGGCCATGATGAATATCGCCGACGATGGAGCGACTCCTCTACCAAAATGTTCACCTGTGCCGTAGTATCGTTTTTGAAGCGGGAAGCTTAAAAAAAACGCAAATCGACGGTGAAAGTCGGCAATCACATAACTCGGTTTGCGACGTCGCAGACTTCCTGTCATACTTTATTTTTTAAATGGAAAACTACTCAACGGCAATTCTTTAAAACTGTCATGATTTTTCTTCTCAATGCGAAGAAAATTCTGCAAAAACTTCAAGAAATAATATCAATTTGTTCTCCTTTAAAAAAATGACGTAGAGGCGGAGATTTTTAGACACCGCAAACGAGTTATGTGATTGCCGACTTTCACCGTCGAAATTTCTTACGCAGATTGTGAAGTTATTAGTGCATTTCAAACTTTGCCGATGCGCTCATCGTGATTTTTGAGGCTTTATCTGTAAGAAATAACTCTTATTTTTGCTCTAGCAAAAGTTTGCAACAGGCCCATTATAAGGGAGCAACAGTCATCACCATAATTTCGGCTGTTGATCTACCTACATGGTCGATGATGAGCTTCGGGTGACGTCATGAGCCAAACAAGTTTCCTAAACTTCGGCCATTTTCGGCTTGTTTGCGAAACGAAACTGCCAACACGTTGTTAAGCTGCCACCATGGCCAAGATACTGGTGGAAGGTCTCTTGTCTCTGCTTTTGGTTGGGCCAGGGTTGGGCTGAAAGTGGCCTAAAAAAAAATCCAATTCTGATTGGTTTTCGCTCATGGAGGCCGAAACGAGTGCACTAAGATGGCGGTACCTCGTATGTGAACAAGAATAATGAAAATATTACCTAATTGTGGTTTATCAAGAGTAAATTGTTATTTCTATCGGTCCAAAATGAAAATAGATTAAGAAATTATTCACAAACCAATCTCATTTTCTTTTTAATTGATCAATTTGTTGATGTTGTTGTTTTTGTGTGACAGACATCGCAGGATTCTTGATCCTTATCCCTCAATATCGTTCGTTTGGGTGCACTCGTTTCGGCCTCCATGGCCAGCCAAGGCCGGCTGCCAGTCAGCTGATAATCGAGTTGTCTTAACTCTGGGTATAAAGGGACTCTACTTTACGTCTTTGGTTCAGCCAGGGACGACTTCTATAGGACGCCGTTCTGTTGTGAGCGGGTGATTGCAGCGCATTCTCGCGTAGGATCCTAGTCAACTCAGAGGATCCTCCCCCCCGAACCTCGACTCATCCATCGCCCGCTCCAAAAGTGAGGTTAAGCCGGAGATTGAAAAATAACACATAAGGCGGCTGAATTCTTGAAAAATAAGTATATTTTTGGCGTTTTTCGACCCCTTTCGACTTGGAAGGGCCTGCCGCATGTAGTACTACGGTGAAAAATTCGATTTTTTGCAGTTATACGCGATCCTACGGATTTTAATGAAGTCCAACAACTGGATTGCATTTTGCACAAAGGAACTACTAGCATTGCAATGTTGCTAAGATTGTGCAACTTCTTTTGTCTTGGAGGAAAAACCCGATTATCCCTTAATAGTTTCTATTTTACTCGCTAAAAACTGTAAATTTAAGATAAAAATTACCATCTAAATTTCATAGTTTTTCACAATTTCTGCAATTTTATTGCAAAGGATGAAGTTGCACAATCTTAGCATCATTGCAATGCTAGTGGTTCCTTATTGCAAAATGCAATCCAACTGATAACAGCAGTGAGTTGCGAGGATCCTACGCGAGAATGCAGCACTAGTACCTGCTCACGAATTTTTACATTGACTCTTACGGGAGTCCAGGGTCCTATAGAACTGGTCCCTGGTTCAGCCCCTGTTCAGCCCGGTCCCTAACCTCTTAATTCTTATACTGTATTTTGTATGTATGCATATTACTATATCACAGTATCACTGCTTGTGAACTCTTCACAGTTTCTGCTTTCTGCATTCAGCCGTTTCACATTATACACAACTTGTGTTCTCGCCTGATATGTCGAAACCGTTATTTATGTATATTCTCTGAAAGGAAAGTGTTTCTGGTTGCTGCGAGAGCCGCATTTAATGGAATATGTCCTCATTTTTTCGAACATTACTCCTCTCCAGAACCTCGAAATTCCTGATAACCCAGTCTGCCTCCGACTGGCTACTTCAATCAAACAGAGGATGTGGAGGAATCTCATTCAAGTTCAGCAAGAGGAACTTCAGTGCTGGTGAGCTTGTTACTGCACACTAAATGTATGATGGTATGTACTTGGTGAACGTTAGGTTCAGTCAGTCACATGGCTAACAGCTATCCATGGTTCGAGTCCATGCCAAGTAAGTGTACACACTTAAGGCTGTGTTCACAGTGAGGAGACTTAGATTTGATCCTTACGGACGTGAATTCAAGGCAGCAGAGAGATGACCAACTGTAGGCAAATCACATCTAATTTGCAAGAGTTGTTCATGCTACTAATCAACTCAAAATTGATTCCAGGTAGATGTCTGGTGCTTATCTCCAAAATTATACCCATTGTCTGGATCAGTTTAGTCTTGCCCGAAAAAATTAAAGTATTCCCTGGGAATTGAACTTCTTTTGGTAAAACACAGATTTCTGGAGAATTTATGCATGATATAGGCGAGCCAGGATTACCATCGGACTAACCAGCCCGTGGTACACCAAGAAGCATGTATCTTATTGAGCCAACTTCCCCAACTGTTCCTAATGAAAAGGGTTTGTTGATCACATGCTCTCTTCCAGCTAGGTATCACCATGTCGAGCATTTCTGATTGTCTTGCATCAGATATGTTGTGATGAAAGGCTTTTGATGAGGATGACAAAGAAATGCCAAAAAAGAATAAACCACAGTCTCATAACAGACAGAAAAATGTATTCGAAAAAACAGAGGACTCTGGGTGTCATCCTCTACATCGCTAAGAACTCCGACTGAGGAGCCGCGTTAGGAAGCCTGGCACCAGTCACTTGCGGATTCAAGCAGACTCAGCAAGTTTCGGTAGGAGCAGAAAAATGCGCTGAAACTTGCCAAGTTGCCCAGAAATTAGCGAGTGCCGAGCCCGAAAACTTCCAACACGGCTCTGCTTTGCACTGTTCTCCCATCACAGCCACTTGAATTTTCAACAAGGTAGAGTGGGAACAGTTTTTTTAGGTGAGTCTTCAGGCGATACTTATTGCTGCAGACAGATATTTGTTATTGACCTGTATGATGACTGCAATGGCGGTTTCTGTTTATGAGACTTGGAAAATAAATAATTAAATATGAGACAACCCCCACCCAAGTTGTGCTGCTGAAGGGAAAGGTTACCTTGGTTTTCGCCCATCACATTGGAATTTGATTTTTCATTACTTAATATCAGGGTTTCCAAACCAAAGAATACCTGTTTTTATTCCCTATTCACCAAATGCTCTTCGGCAAAAGGTCTTTCTCGATAAAATGGACCAATTTCAGGGGGCAAGACAAAACAAATTCCGACATTCCACAATATAATATGGGGTTCACCTCTGTTTTGTTTTTTTTTCTTGCAACTTTTAAGTGTTTTGTAACCCCGTTGCTTAGCCTCATCCCACTGTAAGAAGAGTGACAGTTTGGCAGCAATGTTTTCTAATGTTACCATCAAAACCAAGTTTGAGTTTATGTTTACATTTGTCAAGGAACAGATAATACGTGCTCCTGCAAAGTTTCAACTTTAAAAAGTAATAGACGCTATTAGTGCAACGTCACAGAAAAGCGATATTTATCGATTTTTTCGCATTGGTAGCATTGAAAGAGGTTATGCCAATGTTATTGTTTGGATCCAATTCGATATAATGGAGAATCCCTATGATGACGTCGCCACTAATAGCGTCTATTACTGTTTATCATGAGTGGCGGTAGCCACATCCGGGCAAGTAACCTATCCTCCAACAATTGGCAACACAGCACAGCCCGGTCGAGGCAACGACACCATAGCTACACGTACTTGGCTTATTTGGGTTTTTAGTTGCTGTTCAGTAAACTTTTAAAAGCAACGGAGCAACGGAATTCAGAGATTTCGGTGTCTAAAGATGCATCTCGGTCCCGTCTAACGAACTGAAGAGTTTCAAGGAAATTGAAGATTTATCAAAAGAGATAAGTACGCATATGTGTCAAAAATAGCGAAAAGTATCCACTTTGACTATTTTCATGTTCTGTCAAAGCTATGGAAAATACGAGATATCAGAGCCATATATATATATATATATATATATAAATATTAAAATTAATATAAACTTCGAAGGATTCAGACTTTCAGCGATTCTGCCTTTTTCTATTTCACTCGAGAGGTTGCCAGATTGTGCGATAAATGTGAATATTTTACATGGATTTGAATTGGGAAAAGTGCTAAAAAAGTGGTATCTGGCAAGTGCTAAAAAATAGGATAACGAATTGGCTTATTTCGCGGGAAAATTTAATGACCTTTGAATTGACGTATTTGGGGGTCCGAAACCCCCCTTAAAATTAGTTTGAATTAATTTCTGTGATTTTTACTTAAAAGTGCTTACAATTTGGTAAATTTTCCCGTTTTATTTTTTTCATTACAATAATTTGAACCGGAGTTATGATTTTTTGAAAACAGGTCAAATTTGACCTTTGACCTATCATTACTCGGTCAAAAATTAAGATACTGATCTGCGGTTTGCGCCAAAATTCTTAGTTTTTTATGCTCTTTCGAATGAGGAATCACATGATAGGGGTTGCTATTTGAAAAAAAAAAGTTGGGGTCCGCAGCCCCTCCCCACGGGGGGGCCCGAAAATTTTAAGGGGCCCCAAAAGTAGCTAACATTGATCGATGAACATCCCCAAAGTTTCGTTTCAAAATATCAATTAGATAAAATTTTAGAGGGGGTGGAAGGGACTTTTGGGACACCCTGTATAATGTTGGGAGGAATACTTATACAACTGTTCGTCGCAAAATCGATCCTTCAAAAGTCATCAGCATTCCTTACGTTCCATTATTGTAAGAAAACATAGCATCATTCCTCCGGAAATTTGGGTTTGAAATAGTCCAAAAAAATTACAACACACTTCAGTGTCTCATATCACAAGTAAAGGCACTTACTCCTCCTCTCAATGAGTCAGGGGTAGTCTACAAAATCAAGTGCTCCGAATGTGATGTCATTTACATTGGCATGACACATCAACTTCTTAAGATGCGATTGAATGGGCACCAATATGACCGGAAGGAAAAAACTGCGCTACATGCCCACCAAGAGGCAACGAGCCATGTTTTCAATTTCAAAAATGTGGCAATTTTGGACAGAGAAAAAAATGATTTCAAGAGATCATTGCTGGAGATGATACATATTTTAAGGAATAAAGATCACACTTGTAATTTTAGGGCTGATATTGATAAGCTAATTCTAGTGTATCATCCATTTTTCCAGCGTGATCTGTCTACTTTCGGGCCACCCGGTAATAAGCCATAGCGAGAAAAATCTTTGGGTACCCCGGTAATCAGGTGATCGGACGGTGTGTTTACAATGTAATCAGTCCGGCCCGAGCCATGTAGCAGATCTGTAGATGTAGCATGCAGTAAATTCGGGTTTTACGATTTTTGGGACTTAATCAAAGCTACAGCCTAAACGGTAAAAGTAAACCCCTACTCATATACAATTTGTAGAATCCTCATATCTTCAGGATGTTCCCTCGAAAAAACGATAATCTCATTCCAGAATAGTGTAAGCGAGAAATTCAATGATAAGCGTCGGCAGGTCGGGTCGCCCATTGTACCCAAAAAGCAGTTTTAAGACCATTTCCCTCTTACAATTGCTTGAATCTAAATGAAACTTTCAGGCGCACTAGACGGGAACATGACAATTCTTTTGATATAACATTACATTATATAGGGCTCTGATATCTCGTATTTTCCATAGCTTTGACAGAACATGAAAATAGTCAAAGTGGATACTTTTCGCTATTTTTGACACATATGCGTACTTAAAGTCAGGGAAAAGTCAGGGGTTTGAAAAGTCAGGGAATTTTAGTCATTTTTGTCAGGGAAACCTGGAAAAGTCAAAGACCATGATCTCGCAGGGTCTGTAGAAACCCTGAGTTAGTGCATGTTTGAGGTAGTGGTCATCCACCACACATATTGGTCAGGATCATAGAGAAAAAAAGGAGGTGTTTGCATCTTGAGGATTGTGTACCCTGTGACGGAGGTCGGTACAACCTGGTCAGCAAAATCCGGAATTCGAAGTATAAAAAACGGACCATAATGTCCGATTTTTTTGCTTAAATCAACTCATGATATAATTTCAAACACTTTTTGTAGAATGCATTTTTTCCCATAAACTACACCATTTCCAAGAAAATTGATGATAGAAGTCTAGGTACCGACCTACGTCATCAAAAAAATTCCAAGATACCCGAAATGCAAACACTTCCTTTTTCTTCTCTATGGGTCTGGATAATGCAAGCCTTACCAAAGTGGATAACCATATTATTCTGTCACTACTTTTCCTGTTCTTTCTGAATGAACTGATTCTTGATCTTGATTTCAAATATTCCAGCTAATTACACCTTAATTGACCTGTACACCTAACAAAATTGTGCAAGATAAAGCCAAGAACTTATCTGACTTGGAATATCACATAAAATTCTCCTCTGCTTTTTTCAGGGGTATCACGTCATAATGAAGCATCAAACCTTAGCGCTTGCATGGATAATCCCTATGTATGCTTTGATGATATGATAGCCGCTCGCAGAGCTGAAGCAAGTAGGTCAATTTTAGTCCAAGTCCAGTCTGAAACCTCATTACCAGATCTTTACAACTATTGTTGTAAATTTGGTAACATCAAAATGCTGCATTATTATTCTTGCGGACAAAATGTGAGTAAACTTTTGATCAAATTTCATAGTTCAGACAAAGGGTCCTTGGGTTAGGTTGTCTATCATTTTTTAAATTTGAAGAATTTTGAGCTCCCCTAAGTCGGAAGCGTCCAGCAAGGGGTTGAAATAATGGGCATGGAAGCCCAAGTATAACTTCAAATGATTATCATTGGATCATCTAGTGCCAACTGATCCCACAGAGGACCACCCATCTGTGATCTGGACAGAGGTTAGGCCGGGTCGGAAAAATGAAATTTTTTCCCGGGAATGAATCATGTTGAAAAACAGTTGTATTACATGTCAGAATAACATATTGAAAATTTGGAGCGCCTAAGTCAACTCTAGACCCCTCCGCCTTCGCGATTTAGGCGTAAATTTTAAAAATGCATTTTAAAGGACGGAAAAAGGTCGTTTCCGGTAGATTTTCCCGTGTTACCGATCCTGAGGGCGAAAATTTTACGCGTTTTGCCGAATTTCAAGTGGTTGGACGAGTAACCGGCGCGCGAATCATAATAAAGCGACGACGCCGTTGGCCGCGCCGCGCCGCTGTGTCACGGCGCCTACGCTTGCCCCTAGCGCGACACGCAGCTGAACACCTTCTGTTAGTCACTGATCGGGCGCTACATGTACTTTTTTCAGATTTGATTTAAGTATCTCTTTTCTTTCGGAAGATACAAAATAGTAAGTGAACCTTATTGAACTCTCGTATTTCCAACATTTATAGTTTTTTATCTCCCCTTTTTTCAGAATTTCATACTCATTGAATTCAGTGAGACAGAAAGTGTTAAAGCAGTCCTTGAATTTGGAACACACTTAGAAACAGAACCTGTCATACCTGTAAGATCTCCATTGCTATGGTTTCGCACAAATAAAAAAAAAATAAAAAATTTATCAAGAGCAGATAATGTTATATCCGCTGGATCCATTCCGTATTCATCACAAAATCTGCAAATGCCAGATAATGAGGAGCTGCTAAGATTATTACGTGACTGTGAAACGGTGAGTGCAATTCAACTATTGTTATTTCACCGTAATTGTACTTTATTTCATTTTACTTTTCATTTTTGCTCTTGGGCATGCCAATAATTTTGTCTCTCTGGAAACTAAATGAATAAATTCTTACAGTATGTAGATTGCTCTAAAGAGGTTGTTCCATCCCCCATTAGATTTGGCCCCCTATCAGATATGATCCATCTTTTCAGGAGTGATACAGTAGCATGCGAGACGTTCAAATATGGCGGTCATTTTGACTTAGGCCCCCCCAGAGAGGGGGGGCGGGGGGTCAAAGTCAAAACCTTCAACTGCCTATAACTTTTGAGCGAAAAATCGGATTGAGTTGAACTTTTTTTTAAATGAAAGATCTCAAAAAGATCTATCTGCTGATACCAGAAAAATTGAAAAAAAGTTAAATTTAATGCAAATTTTTAGCAATTTTTCAATTTTTTAGGGGACAAAATTTTCAATTTTGTCGTGTTTCGGCACCGCGCAATGACTCTACTAAAACAAAAACCAGTTTTTTAGATCCTACACTTAATTTCCTACAAGATGCAAAAAACCGCATCTTGAGGAAACATTTAGATCGCGAGCTATGGCTCGTCAAAGTTAGCCCCGCGCTGAGCGCGCGCGCCCTACGCTGTTCGCATATCCTCTGCGCGTCTGCCACCGATCCTGTTGCCCCTCCTCCCCCTTCCTAAATGCAAATTAACATTCTACTACCCAGCTTTCGTATATATCTGCGTTATAGGTACGTGAAAATTTCAGCAAGTTCGTGATTTCCAGTGGAATTGATGCTTTATTTCGCTCCCCCCCCCCCAACCCGGCCACTGGCACTGAAGTGTGCCCCTGCCAACAACGAAATCATTTTATATATCTCAAAGCTATGTGGAGAAAAATCGTGCGAAATATTTTTTAATTCCTCAGCAGCCTATTATGAATACCCATAATAATGTCAGCCTCTCATGAATGGTAAACGCTCAATACACCGAAAAGTGGTTGGGTGGTGGGATAAAAAATTACCTCAATTCGATCTCGTAGTCACAGGGTGCTACATCAGCAAAAACATGAAACAAGAAAATTTATATATTTCTTTTTTGCACAATATTTGGAGTACAGTGGCCGGGTTGGGGGGGGGGCGAAATAAAGCATCAATTCCACTGGAAATCACGAACTTGCTGAAATTTTCACGTACCTATAACGCAGATATATACGAAAGCTGGGTAGTAGAATGTTAATTTGCATTTAGGAAGGGGGAGGAGGGGCAACAGGATCGGTGGCAGACGCGCAGAGGATATGCGAACAGCGTAGGGCGCTCGCGCTCAGCGCGGGGCTAACTTTGACGAGCCATAGCTCGCGATCTAAATGTTTCCCCAAGATGCGGTTTTTTGCATCTTGTAGGAAATTAAGTGTAGGATCTAAAAAACTGGTTTTTGTTTTAGTAGAGTCATTGCGCGGTGCCGAAACACGACAAAATTGAAAATTTTGTCCCCTAAAAAATTGAAAAATTGCTAAAAATTTGCATTAAATTTAACTTTTTTTCAATTTTTCTGGTATCAGCAGATAGATCTTTTTGAGATCTTTCATTTAAAAAAAAGTTCAACTCAATCCGATTTTTCGCTCAAAAGTTATAGGCAGTTGAAGGTTTTGACTTTGACCCCCCGCCCCCCCTCTCTGGGGGGGCCTAAGTCAAAATGACCGCCATATTTGAACGTCTCGCATGCTACTGTATCACTCCTGAAAAAGATGGATCATCTATACTATAAGCTCTCAAGCCTCCTAATTATGCGAAACTGGTAACGCTTAGTTCCAGCGTTCTACCGGGCCGATTTTTATGATTTTTGCGGCTATCGACGGGCAATTGTCTCTAGATAAGCCAACTCTTTTCAGATTTTCAAAATATGGCCTAGGTTTTTTTATATTAAGTGGTAAAGTTGCGAATTCTCCCATTTAAACAATGTAAATTTATATTTTTTGTCATAGTTCGTTTAAGCGTTCTACCGGGCCGATTTCTAAGTTTTTTGCGGTAATCGACGGGTAATTGGCCCTAGATGAGCCCGCTCTATTCAGATTTTGGAAATAGGACCCAGGTTTTTTTACAATCACGTTATAAAAGTGAGTGAATTTTCAGAATGCTCCGAGACTGCTACCGCTATGCGCGGGAGGATGCGCAGTGGTCGAGGAGGTTGCGCCGCAGTAGCTGTGTAGCCTGCGCATCAGCTCTACACTTATCTACACAAGATTCGTCCCATCTGCCTCAGGTAGAGCGGTGGCCGAGTCGTCAAAGACGTCGGAAGCGTCCACTATAAACATGGTGTGGGTTCGATCCCCGTCTCCCGAAACTCTTAATTATTACCTGATTATCAATGTTCGTTGTTTTACTGCAATATTTCATCAAGTAGTCATTCCAAAACGCGTCCTTTAGACTTCAAAATAATAATTTTGTTTCTTTATTCATCAAAACCAAAAATTATTTCATTCTAAAAGTAAAGTATACCTTATATTGTAATTTTTTAGGGGAAAAAATAAAACTAACACCGATAGGAGGGTAAAAATAGGGCCGCGAAGCGGCCCATTGATGGCGCGGAGCGCCTTCAGGGGGTTGGGCCGCGTAGCGGCCAGGGGGCGTAGCCCCCTAGTATCTGATAGGGGGCCAAATCTAATGGGGGATGGAACAACCTCTTTTGAATTCTAAATGCTAAATATTTAATCATATCTAATTACAAATTCTATATACACTGAAAAAAAAAAAATTGAATGAATCACCTGTATTTTCTGCTTTTGTACCATCTTACCAATAACTAATCTCTATAATATAGGATTTAAGGCTTGTTTTCACAGCTCCAATCATGTTTGAAGGATAAAAATGGATACCTGATTAATAAGTAATAAGCACATTATTATATTATTTTTTATTTTGTATATACGCTCCAGCAGGTCTTCACCTTGAAAAAGAAAGTAGGTATTTTTCGTGCAGAAAACTATCTTGTATTTATCATTTCAGGTTTCAGATCAAATGATGACTTTGTATTTGCATTCAAAACTGAACGATATTGGATCCAGACTTAGATTTTTAACTGCACGCCAAATTGAATTAATGCTGTGTGGAGTTTTTCCTCATATACAAGCCATTCCGTTTGGATCATCTGTCAATAGTTACGGAAAACTGGGTTGTGATCTAGACCTCTCTTTGTTACTTGATGATATAACGGTATTTTTATTATTTTTCTTCAATCTCTAAATTTCGTCCTCTCTTATTACATCTAAAGGGAGAAGTCTAAAGCATTATTGCTCTAAAAGTTAGTTTTTACCAAGCAAAATTGTCCGATTTACATCCGGTTTGGACAGGGTGGCTTGTTTTTTGCGTAAAATTGATTTCTGAAATAAAAAAGTAGGGGTGCCATTTGAAAATTTCGATTTACCGGGGGGGAGGGCACCCCCCGCTCCGCGCCCCCCCCTGCGGTTTGAGAAAATGTCAAATACGTCAAAAGGTGTCCCCCTCGATATAAACGAACACGTCTTTTACCGTTTTTCGAAATTCCAACCCGTTCGCCAGATATTCAAGGTGGCTCGTTTTTCGTGAGACACCCTGTGTATCAACACAACCAGATCTAGAATCAGACACCCTACAATTTGGCTCAAAATTAGTGTACAGGGTCTTTATATCATTCTATGAAACTGATTCGATGGTTTTACGTCTCCGACCCTCCATTCACGAGATATTGACCTGTGAAGATGATATGGATTCTAGATTATTCCAAAAACCCTTGTTTAGAATTTCACATTTTCTCAACATCCTTTACCTCGACTTCATATGATGGCAGCTGATATCAATTTATCGCATTTTGAATAGCTGTTTTCCGTCAAACTTGTAAATGCTGAATACGCAATGGGCCTGTTGCAAACTTTTGCTAGAGCAAAAATAAGAGTTGTTTCATATAGATAATGCCTCAAAAATCACGATGAGCGCATCGGCAAAGTCTGAAATGCACTCATAACTTCACAATCTGCGTAAGAAATTTGCGTTTTTTT